ACCTGACCTCGAAGATCGAAACCCCCTTGTAGTGGCCAATCTCTGAAGCAGAAGGAGGGACCAATGATGGACGACCCAGACATCCAGCGTCATGGTTTTTGCTCACAACGTGGACCCCGATGAGTTCGTTCCTTCAACAACGAACTCGCCTGAAGTTTCGAAAGCATCGTCAGTATCCACCCGGACGCACGCAAAGGAAGCGCCGCACAGAAATCCCACCTGTGCGCGAACATAATCAAGATGGAGAGGAGGGACGGATGACCGGGAGAGTGCCCTTGTATGCGAAAGCGGCAAGTGGTGTTGCGTGAAATCCCAAGTGGAGAGCTGGATCCCCAAGACTGGATGGATGTTCAGCCTGAGTTGTCTCTTGTCGGCCCCCAGGCCTCGCGAGGGACCCCCCAAACGCCGAAGACTGCGGACAGCACCCGTCGGGAGATGTTGCACGAAGCGAGGGTCCCCCTATCAATCTCCGAGAATGGAGGAGGGACGTGCGGTCGGGAATTTTTGGGCAGCGGCGTGTCGCTACGGCGGCCCCAGCGACACGCTAGGCTTGCAAGCAGATGGCGTGTCGCTCCAGTCTGCGGGCTGGGAGGCTCCGGAAGGCTCGGGGCGTCGAAGCCTGGGGACTGGGTGGTGGACAACGTGTCGCGTCGAAGCGTCCGTCCGCAGCCATTCTGGCTCCAGCCAGCTTGGCTCAAAGTCCCAATCCCCGTGGGGGTGGGGCTTGGAAGCCTGCCGCGATCCGTGGGCTCGAGGACCCTGCAGCAATTCTGGCGACCGCGCCGGCGGCCCATGCACTGGGCGCCGCATGGCCAACCGTGGCTGTGCCTGCCATGCCTCGCCCAGGGTGGGGACGGCAGCTCTGCGCAACCCCGCTCGGGCCGTCCTCCGTGGCGCCGGAGCCAGACCAGTGGGGCGGGGGCGTCGCCGCAGCCGCAGCCGCACACGTGGTTGCCGCGGCAACGACCCCCGAAGCCGCTCTGGACGCAACGACGTTGGCGGCTGCCGGCTGCCGCCAAGGACGCACAAATGATCCTGGCGAAGGACCCAAGCATATGCAGTTGTGAGTCCCGTCGTTGCGGGCATCGCCTTCGGGGGATCTCCTCATGGGGCCATGAAGCATGCGAAGGGAGTGCGGATATGGGGCGGGGCCGCCATGTGAGCGCTGCCACTGGGGCTTTCGGTGGACCTCCTTTTGGGGCCACGAGGCGCTGTACAGGGTGGGGGAGACGCATGCGGACACCGGCACTGAGACCTTCGGTGGAGCTTCTTATGGGGCCACGGAGTGCTGTACTGGGTGGGGGAGACGCGTGCGAGCACTACCATTGAGGCCTTCAGTGGAGCTTCCTATGGGGCCACGAATCGCTGTACTGGGTGGGGGAGACGCATGCACCGCCACTGGGGCCTTCGGTGGAGCTCCCTATGGGGCCAAGAAGCGCTGTACTGGGTGGGGGAGACCGCCACTAAGACCTTCGGTGGAGCTCCCCATGGGGCCACGAAGCGCTGTACAAGGTACTGGGTGGGGGAGACGCGTGCGAACACCGCCAGGGGCCTTCGGTGGAGCTCCTTCTGGGGCCACGAAACGTTGTACAGGGCGGGGGAGGTGCATGCGAATACAGCCACTGAGTCCTTCGGTGGAGCTCCCCATGGGGCCACGGAGCGCTGTACTTGGTAGAGGAGACGCATGGGAACACCGCCACTGGGGTCTTCGGTGGAGCTCCCTATGGGGCTACGAAGCGTTGTACTGGGCGGGGGAAACGCATGCGAACACCGCTACTGGGGTCTTCCATGGAGCTCTGCATGGGGCCACGAAGCGCTGTACTGGGTGGGGGAGACGCATGCGAACACCCACTGGGGCCTTCGGTGGAGCTCCCCATGGGGCCACGAAGCGCTGTACTGGGTGGGGGAGACGCGTGCAAACACTACCAATTGAGCTTTCGGTGGAGCTCCCTGTTGGAGAAGAAGATGATGCTGCTGATGATGGTGGTGGATGTAACGGTACTAATCATACGGATGTTGTTGTTGATGGTGATGTTGGTGATGATGATGCTGATGATGATGCTGATGATGGTGATGATGCTGATGATGGTGATGATGATGGTGATGATGCTGATAATGATGATGATGATGATAATGATGATGATGCTGATGATGCTGTTGATGATGTTGATGATGAAGGTGATGATGATGGTGATGAGGTTGATGGTGATGCTAGCAGGAAAGAGGAGAGGGGGGAGGAGAGGAGAGGAGAGGAGAGGAGAGGAGAGGAGAGGAGAGGAGAGGAGAGGAGAGGAGAGGAGAGGAGAGGACAGGAGAGGGAGGAGAGGGAGGAAAGAGGAGGAGGCGGGAGGAGGAGGAGGGCGGAGGAGGAGGAGGCGGAGGAGGAGGAGGAGAAGGCGGGGCGGTGTCTCTTCAAAACGAAGACCCAACAACACAGGACGGTTGGGAATACATAAGTACCAATCCCAGGTCCCCCTAACATTTGCCTGGGAATCGACGGCGATTTGTGCCTCTGTTTTTTTCCCTCCTGAAGGGGGAGGGGGCGAGGGCGGCCTCGCGGGCCGTGGCCCCTCCTGCGGCGCGGCCCAGGAGCGCCCGCAGCAGAGGCCCCCGAGGTGCAGGCGCTCTCCAGGGCACGTTCCGAGGGCGGGGCGCCACGAGACTCGCGCACCCGCGGCGGACGCGCTGCAGCAGCAGCCGCAGCCGCGGCCGCAGCCCCGCTCGGACGTCCATTCCCCGTGCCTCGTTCGGTTTCGCGAGTGCACTGATTGTTCGCAAGAGGACCAGGCTGGGCGAAAGGGGGGGATAGCAAAGGGGGGGGGGTGAGAATCAGCTCACGTAGCTGATTCTCCCGGCGCCTCCTGGCGCCGGAGGCGGCCATGCATCGAGGAATGGGCCCGGCGGCGGGGCCGAAACCAGCTGCATGCAGCAGACTTCGTAACCCCCCATTTCCCAATCCCCCCCTTTCGTCCGGCCCGAGAGGACCCAGAACGTTCCTCCACATGGTCCTTGCCTGGGAAAGCAATGAGCACGCCCGCGCGATGCCAAGGCGCAGGCGCAGGCGGCTGGAGCGGCAGAAGCGCGCGACCAGGAGCCAGGGGCCCAGCGGAGACCGCGCGGGACGCGCCGCCCCCGAGTCGGCCGCTCCAGTAGAGGCCTCCAAGATGGAGTCCGACTAGCCTAGATGGGGTCGGAGCATCGCGCCGCATGGCCGATGCATCGCCGATGCATCGCCGATGCATCGGCGACGTATCGGCGACGTCGGCGATGCATCGGCGCCGTGGGCGTGGGGAAATTCGGGCTTCGCATCGAGCCGCATTTGCGGATGCATCGGCGATGCGGCACGATCCTCCGACCCCGCCCTGCGCGGACCGCAGCTCGGAGGCCCATGGAGGGACGCGCCGCACCAGAGTCGGCCGCTCCTGGTGCCTGCCCCGGGCGCCCCGGGCGCCAACCTCCTCCGCGCGTCGGGGGGCTCCCCTGGGCTCCGCGGCGGCGGGCAGCCCAGCTCCGCCAGGCGGTGGCTGGGAGCCTCGGCAGGCTTCGGCGGTCGGGGCCGAGAACGGCACCACGTGTAGCGACGAGTAATTACTCAGACGACACCAGATCCCTGAGATCCTGGCGATGCAAGTTGTTCGAGCCGGGCGTTTTCGCTCTATGTCGGGCCCCAGGACCCTCACAGATGGATCCGGCTCGAAAAATGGCGCAGAAACATGGGGTCCGGGGGTCTGGTTGTGATTTGTGGCGATGTTGTAATTTTTTCGCTACGTCGGATTGCAGGCGGAGCAGGCGGGGGAGCCCAAAGGTCAGGAGCGGCCAAGAGGGGGGCGTCCAAGAAGGGGGGCGCGCAAATCATGGCCGGCGGCATGTGCGCGGCCCAGGGGGGGGCCAGGGACACCATGAAATAAGAAGAGGCGCCATGGAATCTGGGGAGATATCATGGCCCACGCCATGATAGCTATGCCCCCCCTAAGCATCACCCCCTTGTGGCCGCCCCCGAAAAAGGGAGGAAGGCGACTGTCCAACGGGTCGACCCTCCGGCAGCCCAGGCTCCGGCACCCCAGGAGGCGCCGCCCGGAGGCGCCCTCACTGGCGCAAGCGCCAAGAGCCCTGGCCCATCCTCCAGCGAGGAAGGTTGAAGGGGCCCGGGACACACACACATAAATAGACACTGAGAACAGGATTCCCCATGTCTTCCCATACTTTCGAAGGTTTTGTCTTTCCCCCACGTCCCAGATGTCTCCCACATTTTCTGGGAGATCGACGATCACTTGTGCCTGTGTGTTTTTCCCCTCCTGAACGGTTGCAGCAAGGGCGCCGCCACTGCAGGGAGCGCGAGGCGTCCCCCGCGCGCACGGCGCAGCACCGACGCTGGGCGCGGCCGCGGAAGCGGCCGCGCAAGCGACCTGCCAGACCCTGCAGGAGGCGACGCCGCCGTGGGAGCCTCGACCGGTAGGCGGCGCAGCCCGCGGTGGCCGCGCTGGCGGCGGCGGTGCTCGGGCTGCCGGCGGCGCGGCGGCGGGCGCGGCCACTGCGGCGGGCGGCCGCGCTACGAGCGCGGGGGCGGTCCCCGGGGCCAGGGCCCGCGGTGCTCGAGATAGAGGCGGCAGCGGTGGACCTGGCCGCAAAGGGACCCGCGGCGCTGCTGGCGCACAGCTATAGGTTTGGGCGCGTCTTCTGAGGCGGCCCGCGCGGCGGCCGCGCGGCGACAGTCTGTCCGACCTCGCGGCGGGAGCGCGCGCCCCGCAAAGCCAGGGCGCGCTGAGGCGCCAGCCTGGCCGCTGCACTGCTTGCTGCTGTTGCTGCTGCCTTCTTCTCTTCTCCTCCCTCAGCTGCTGCCCTTCCTCCTCCCATGCCACGGGGCGACGCGGCGACCTCTCTCGCGCGGTCTGAAAAGAGAGTGTCGCGCCGATGCGCGGTGGGCCAGAACCAGCGGAGCGACACGCTATCCAAAAACTCCCGAGCGCGAAAGGCACGATGGACAACGCGCGGCCGGCCGCCTGTCCAGCCGCGGGTGGGTCGCCGGTGCCAGGCTTGGGCTTCGGCGACGGCGCGCCGCCGCGCTGGCCGGGCTTCGGGTCCGGCGCGGGGGCCAGCGGCCGGCAGGTCCACAGCCCGGTCGGGGGGATGCACTGCCTGGGGGGGGGGGGGGGCGGCAAATTCCGCCTCCAGGATCCTTGCGTCGCATTCTTGCTCGCACCGGGCGTTCTTGCCGAGCTTCGGGACTCGGACCATCACAGATCAAGCCAGCTCGAGAAAGGCTGCAGAAAGATTGGGTCCGGGGCTCTGGCCGTGAGGTTTTACGATGCTTCAATTTCTCGCCACGTCGGATCTCAGGGTGCGTCCTGCCTCGGTCCTCCCCTTCAGGCCCATTCGCGGCAGAAAATTCGTGGCGGCACATGTTGCTGTGTTTTCGGCCCCTGGAGGCACCTTCCTGGCCCGTGGGCGGTGAAGAGACGGCTCGGGATGAAACACTTGCCCAGGGGAAGTGGTCGAAATCCAGGGGGGAGCTACGCCACGAACGAACATGCAACATCGGAAAGGACCGTCCTAGCTCCGTCCTCCATCCTCATCCGTCCTCCCCCATCTCCCTCCACTCCTCCATGCTCCTCATCCCATCTCCTCACGCTCCTCCTCTCCCTCGCTCCTCATCCTGCTCATCCTCCTTCTCCTCCTCCTCCTCCACCAACTCTTCTGCTCCTCCTCCACCTCCTCCTCCATCTCCTCCTTGAGCTCGTTCCGCCGGGCATGCGCTAACTAGCGGCGGACGGAGGTCATAGTCGTCACCGTTGTCGTCGTCGTCGTCGTCGTCGTCGTTCTCGTCCTCGTCCTCGTCGTCGTCGTGGTGGAGCGATTCCACGGGGAGGGTGTGCATCCAGGCCCCAGTATGCGGTTTTGGCAATACCATGAACCAAAAGAAGGAGATAGGCGTTCTGGCAGAGGGCTTAGCCCAACACCCCCGTCTCCGGTGGCTACCGCGTCCCCCGTCACTCGCGGACATGAGGGCCTTGAGGCTGACGACAAGGCGGGCCTTTGGGGGGCACCCAGGGCCGCTTTGGCTGACAAGCCCAACGGTCCCTGGCGCTCTGCCCGCCTCCCCTGGGCGCCGCCCCGGTCTCTGCATGGCCCTTGGGGGATGGTCCCCCACGTCGGGGAGAGACGCATAAATGAAGTAGGGGCAGAGGTGAGGAACATCTCCTGGAACGGCCCGTGTAAGAATGGAATGTAAATCTCTGGCTGGGTACGTTCCTGAACCCCATTGTGGGTTAATCCCCTCTGTGGGGAAAACAAGAGGGTACCGATGCCGCTACTCCCAGGGTGCGTTCTGACCAGGATTCCGAGGCGAATCCAGCGGTGGCGACGAAGGTCTACCATCAGGCCCAAGAAATGGAAAACGAGGGAGGGGTAGCGGCATGAGTACATCTTCCTCCTCCGACTCTCTACGAACCCTCGGCCAACTGCAAGATTTGGGCCAATGCTTGTCTACGAAGCCCCGACCAAAGACAAGACTTGGGCCAATGCTTGTCTTCGAACCCTGCACCGCATACAAAACTTGGGCGAACTCTTGTCTTCGAGGGACCCCTCCGGGGCGGGGGCCCGCGCGGGCCCCAGGCCAAGAGGGCGGGGGGGGGGTTCTCCACCCCGACCGCCGCGCCCAGCCGCAGCCCCAGGGAGCGGCCCCAGAAGGAGAGGACTTGAGCCAAGCCTTCTCTTTGGGCGGCCCCCCCGAGGGGTTGGAGTCCGCGCGGGCCCCAGGAAGGGGGGGGGGCGTCCTCCCCGACGCCGCCCTGTCCTCAGCCAGGGGGGTTTTACCCCGAAGGGCAGGATTTGGGCCAGATCTTGCCTTTCAGGCCCACCCCCCTGCGGGTTGCGGTCCGCGCGGCCCCTGGGAAGGGGGGGCCCTGACCTTGCAGAGCGCATGGAAATAGCACTCCAGACCTATAGACCGATCTAGCCTGCGTAAAACCTCGACTGGAATGTGGGCATCGAGGTCCTGGTGCTATTTTAAAACCCTCCTGGAAGATCAGGGGAGGGGGAGGGGAGGTCCCCCCCGGACGCCGCCCCGGCCTTTCGTCGTCGTCGTCGTCGTCGTCGTCGTCGTCGTCGTCATCGTCGTCTGTTGTCGTCGTCGTCGTCGTCGTCGTCGTCGTCGTCGTCGTCGTCGTCGTCTGTTGTCGTCGGTTGTCGTCGTCGGTCCCCGGGGGAGTCCCCCAAGGTACAAGCTTTGGGCCAGGTCTTGTCCGCAGGGACCCCACCCCCGGTCGCCGCGGCGCGATGAGCACCTTTCGAGGGGCCCCGTAGGGTCTAGGGGAACAGCCCGAGCTCTGTGGGCAGGAAAGGGGTGTGGTGTGCAGTCGGACTCGATTGGACAGGACACGCGAGAGGACGCAAGACCCTTCCGAGGGCCACATTGCCACAGGAGTGTAGGAAGCATGGATCGCGAGACACAGGAGACAACCTACTAACCTGGGCCGACTGTAAAAAGGGGTGTGGTGCCCATGCTGGATTTGGTGAGGTTATCTATCGTAGATAGCATCGCCATTCCCACGATTGGCACCACACCTCTTCATGCCATACCCCTTTCCCGACCTCCAGACGACCGTCCCCACTGATCCCCGCAGGGCCGGCGCTCCAGGGACGCATCCCCGTGCTGTCCCAGCGGGGGCCCGTTGCTGTTGGGACAGCGGGGCAGGGGCCCCAGCACGCAGGCGCCTCTGCGGCGCCGGGGCCCGTCGTCGCAAGCCCCACGCGCGGGGCAGTGAGCCCCGTTCGGGGGGGGTGTCTCTTGTGGCCAAGGGGGGGGGGGGGTCGGCCGAACGACCCCCCGGGTGCCCGCGGGGCCGGCGCTCTGGGGATGCGCCCCCGTGCCGCCCCAGCAGAAGGACGCCACGACACGACGACAACGCCGACGGCGGCGCGGCGACGGCAGGGCGGCAGCGGCGGCACGCAGGCCGCGGCAGTCTGGGCGGTATTGAAAGGAGTCGTTCGGGCCCCACGAAGGGCGTCGATAGGGGAAGAGGGTCTGGGAGGAAGGTATTCTAGGGGATTCTGGGAGAAACGAGGAAGGAGGATTGAAGAGGACGAGGAGGGGAGAGGCTGAGGAGGGAGAAATAATGTGAGAAAACAGAGAGAACGGAAGACAGAAGGCCTCTCCTTCAACGTTCCTCCCCTCCCCCTCTCCCACACGGGGTCCGAGCAGATGTGGTCGGAGGAATGCACCGCATCGCCGATGTATCGCGGATGCATCGCCGATGCATCGGTGATGCATCGGCGACGTCGGCGACGCATCAGCGAAACCGACGTGGGGAAAATCGGGCCCAACATCGAGCTGTATCGTCGATGCATCGGCGATGCGGCGCGAACCTCCGACACCACCTACTCCAACTTCATCTAGGATCTAGGAACATTAGACCTCATCTACCCCCCTCCCCTCTCCCTCCAGGCCTCGCCTCGTCTCCTCACTGGCCAGCCGGGTAATGGATTCTGCAGGGGCAGCGAAGATCGAATACACACATGAAACCCCGACCCTGCAGAATCAAGGCGCCCGCGCCAAAGGGAAGACGAGCGAGGAAGGGGAGAGAGAGGAGGGGCCGAAGAGACAAGAAAACCCCGCCGCCGCCGAAGCCCCCATCTCGCATGCCCAGCGCACCCAGAAGGGTCGACCTCCCCTTCTCTCCTCCCCCTTCCGGTGTTCTTGAAGGGCTGAAAAGGGGGGGGGGGGGGGGGAAGGTCGAGGGTTGGCAGACGCGACGGCGCCCGCCTGGTCACCCGGGGGACAGAAGAGAAAGGGCGAAGGAAGGCAAAGGGAGGGGGGAGCGGCGGAGAGGGAGACGCGGGAGTGGCAGCGGCAGCAGCCAGAAGACTGAGATGAAGAGGAGGCGGGGAAGAGGAGGAGGAGGAGGAGGAGGAGGAGGAGGAGGAGGACCAGTGTAAACCCAAGAGTCACCAACAATGTTAGAATAAACCCTCCCTCCAAGCTCTCTCTTCATAGGATAGGCCCCATACACCGGTTCGTTTCCACTGAAAGAACTACATCGTTGGAAGACAACCGTGTGAAGACCCTGAAGCATGCCAGAACATTGTTTCCGGGATTTCAACGCCACGGATCAACCTGACGGTTGCGTCTTCACGATCGAGGATCACACCAGATTGCCATTCCTGGGGCTTCAACTCCGCGAATCAACAGGACTCTTGCGCCTTCATAGCCCTAAAATTGTCGAGAAACACAATTTCTCGCAAGCTGATCATGGAAAGCCGTGAAACTCTTGCAACAATTATGGACGAATGTGCACGGCTCTGAGGCGAGAACCACATTTTGGAAAGGAGCCGCCCTCAATCCGTGAAATCTTGGAAATGTATACACGAGTGTACACGGCGCTAAAGCGAGAGCCACATGTTGCCATCGGGTCGCCATCAACCCGTGAAGCTCCTGCAAAGTTTTGACACGAATGTGCACGGCGCTAAAGCGAGAGCCACATTGTGAAAACCGCCCGCCCTCCATATCTGAAGCTGTTGCCAATGTTTAGACTTCAGGGCCATCAATGATTGTTGTTCGCTCCAGCCTTAGGTATGTCTGAACGAGCCATCACCAAGACAGCTCCTGCCCCGCGGCGCCGCGCAGTGCGGCAGCGCCAACGCTCACAGCACGATGGCCCCGAGGCCACAAGGGCAAACGGAGGGAGGAGGCCCCGCCGCGTTCTGCACCGGAGACAACCGACCATGCAAAACGGGCAAGACACCCGCCCCCCGCACGCCCGAGGGACCCGGGCAAAAAAGTTTTGGACCCCGAGACCGGAAACGACACGACACGACGGAGAGGACAGACCGCCCGGCTCGACCCCCGGGACGGCAAGCCCAGGGAGGGGCACATGGCCCGAAAGGCCCGCCCTAAAAACTTGCCTCGGGGTCGGACAGGGAGATATGACCCATACGACCACCCTTCGGGTGATAAGGAGATTGTGGGGGGGAGAGGGGGGGAACAAACATCTGACTCAATCGATCTCACTATCGATCTCACGTTTTAAGACACCACGGGACACCACGGGACACCGCGGGACACCTCTCGATCTCACGATCGGTCTGACAATCGGTCTCGGTATCGATCTCATTCTCGATCTCACTCAACGGGACACCACGGGACACCACAGGACACCTATCGATCTCACCATCGATCTCACGTTTTAAGACACCACGGGACACCACGGGACACCTCAGGGCACCACATCGATCTCAGTATCGATTTCACCATCGATCTCACTATCGATCTCACCCAACGGGACACCACGGGACACCACGCGACACCACGGGACACCTCTCGATCTCACTACGATCTCACTATCGATCTCACTTTTTGGGGCACCACGGGACGCCACGGGACATCTCGGGGCACCACATCGATCTCAATATCGATCTGAGTATCGATCTCAGTATCGATCTCACTATCGATCCCACTCAACGGGACACCACGGGACACCACGGGACACCGCGAGCCAATCCGGACGGACGGACGGACGGGCGGGCGGGGGAGAATCATTTGTCTTGACTTTGCCCTAGCAACGGCGGGCACCACGGACCACGGGAAACCACGGGACACCGCGGGACACCGCGAGCCACCGCCGGACGGGCGGGCGGGCGGGGGAGAATAGTTTGCCTTGACTTCGCCCTAGCAAAGGCGGGTTCATTCCTCTCGCGCGCCCACGCAGCTTCGCCTCGCCCACCCACATCGCCTCCTCTCCCCGTCGCTGCCGTCGCAGTGGTCGAGGTCGCCGTCGCCGCCGCCACCGCCGTCGTCGTCTCCACGCGTCGGCGCGCAGTCCCTCCGCCCCCCATGCGGCGGCGGCGCTTGTACGCGACGTCGCCCTGGCAGACGCACCCCTCCTCGCAGCAGTCGGGGCCCTTCAGCCCTGTGTTGCCACCGCCTGGGCGGCACCCCAAATCTTCCCCTCGGCCACCGGAGACCCGAGGGGACCTCCAGAGACCCCCAGGGACCTCGAGACCATCTCCTCCTCCTCCTGCTCCTCCTCCTCCTCCTCATCCTCCTCATCATCATCATCACCATCATCATCCTCATCATCATCATCACCACCATCATCATCATCATCATCAGCAGCATCACCATCATCCTCATCATCCTCATTATCCTCCTCCTCATCATCAGCATCATCAACATCATCACCACCATCACATCACCATCACCATCACCATCAGCATCACCATCATCTTCATCCTCAGCATCCTCATCAGCATCATCATCCTGCCCATCAGCATAATCAGCATCATCATAAGCAGCATCAGCATCATCCTCATCAGCATCAGCACCAGCTCCTCTACCATCAGAATCACTAGCAGCATCATCGGTATCACCGCCATCGTCATCATTATCATAATAACCACAATCAGCATCAGAAGCAGCATCATCATAACCAGACTCGTCATCATTATAATCATCACCATCAGCACCATCAGCACCATCATCATCATCATCATCATCATCATCAGCATCATCATCATGATCATCAGCATCACCATTCTCATCAGCATCAGCATCATCATCAGCTCAATCATCAGCATCATCATCATCAACTGCAGCAGCAGCATTATCAGCATCATCATCACCATCCTCATAATCATCATCTTCGCCGTCGTCATCATCATCCTCATCAGCATCAGCAGCAGTATCACCACCAGCATCAGCATCAGCATCATCATCATCGTCGCCACCACCACCAGAATCATCACCATATGTACTCATCATCATCATCATCATCATCATCATCATCATCATCATCATCATCATCATCATCATCATCATCATCATCATCATCATGATCAGCATCATCAGCATGACCACCATCATCATCATCAGTATCATCAGCATCATCAGCAGCATCGTCATCAGTACGATCAGCATCATCACCACCTCCATCATCATCATCATCACCGTCAGCATCATCATCAGCAGCATGAGCAGCATCATCATCATCAACATCATCATAATATTTCTCCTCCTCTTCCTCCTCCTCCTCTGTTTCCTCTTCCTCCTCCTCCTCCTCCTCACCATCATCTTCTTCTCATTGTGTTCCTTCCTCCTCTTCCAAGGGGGGATTCAGAAGGGGCAGGGGCGGAGAAGGCAAAGTATGAGTTCCTTCCTCCTCCTCCTCCTCCTCCTCCTCCTCGACCTCCTCATCCGCCTTTTACTACTGCCCCTCCTCCTCCTCCTCCTCCTCCTCCTCCTCCTCCTCCTCCTCCAGCCCCTCGTCGTCGTCCTCCTCCTCTTCGAACACACGAACTAGCGGCCTAGATTGGCACGCTGCATGTTCGTCGCGTGTGCACAATACTGGAGCGGCACAGGCCGACCCTTGCGCAGCCCGGCTGCAACCCACATGCCCCGATGCATCACCCCCGCGCGCCGAAGCTCCGCCAATACCCTCTAGTTGGCCCGGACGTTGCCTTCGCCACCTGACCGCTGTCTCGTGGCCGCTGACCGAAAAAAAAACCCTCTTGCCCAAGGGCTTCGGGCGAGGAGACTGAGGGGCATTGTTCAGGGGGAACAGGCTCAGGGCGGGAACATCCTGCTGCGACCGACGATGCATCTCCCATAGGGGCCTGATGACCCCTCCCCCACAGGATCCTACGAATTCGCTGTCGATGCCCAACCGGCTGCCCCACGTATAACGTACAACACTTCACGTCAGCTTGGCCCCCCAATCCAGCCCCCGACTGCACTATCCCCTACCAGAGGTGCAAGAAGACAGATAGCGTCAAAAGAAGAAGGCCGCGGCGGCTAAACGCACATGCCGCCCCACGCAATGAGCAACGCACCGCTCTCAACACCCCTCCTTGAACACACACATACACACACATACCCGTGAATCCCTCAATGTAGCCGTTGCGGGGCCTGGTCGAGGAGTGCTCAGCCTCGCACAACAGGGTGAGGAATGTGCTCGCGAGATTTGCACCACGCGCGCATCCTACGGGGTCTGAGGGCATTGCCCTTCTTGCCGCTGCCCCCCAAAGGGCCAGCGGGTCGCCCTCGTGTGGAGTGACCAGGACTGTCAGCAGCAGCGCGCAAAGAGGGAGGAGGAGGGACGGATGGGGGCAGAAGGGAGTGAGACAAGCTAGGTGCGTTCGCGCAATATCTAACACCCTACCCCTCCCACCAATCCCTTCCCATTGCACTATTCGTCGTTATCAGCCGGCGGGTACCCCGTCGTGTTAAGCGAAATCGGACATGGGTAGCTGGGTACATTGGGGGGAGAGGTGGCGGATGAGCATGAGGATGAGCAGCAGGAGGGGGACGCGGAAGGAGGATGACGAGAACGACCAGCAGCAGCAGCAGGAGCTGGAGTGAGAGGAGCGGAAGGAGCAGGGGAAGGCGGGGGCGGGAAAAGGAGCGGGGCGACAATGATGAGACGTGGCCCGCGCTGGGGCGAAAGCACCATTGCGAACGACGGGAGCAGAGCGACCGTAAAACGAGGGCCAACGCTGGAGTGGGAACGCCATGGTTCACAACAGGCGTTGGCAAGCTCAAGTAGTACGATCCTGCATGTTAGCCAGGCTAATACGCGCGAGAGGGCAGGACACTGCTCCAGGACGTACTCGGGGGATGGAGGAGAGTGATATTCTTATTGAAGACAGAGTCGACCCGCATAGTATGAATGGGGCTCAAGGATACACAAACAAATGCACACAAGTCACAGGATTCCCCTCATTTTTTATTTTCTTGATTTTCGTTTTCCCCCCCACTTACCATAATGTTCCTATGCTGTCCTGGGAGACGACGATTCATTGTGTCTGTGTGCTGTTTCCCCTCCTGATAATAAGGATGATCAGCTTTCCGAGCTTACCCGTGCATTCTTCCCCGCCGGCCCATCTCTGGCCGCTTTCGCTGGCCGCGCCGCGCCCGCAGAGTGTCGGCATGGCCTTCCCATGCCCTCTGCATCCTCATCGTGTCGTGTGCGTCCTTCCCATACGGGTCGATTGTAAACGAGCCACAGTATGGAGGAGGGGGGGAGGTTGCGAGAGCCTGGGCTGTGCCCTCCCCGCCCTCCCGCTCCCTCACGAAACCAGCAGGGCTGCAGGGGGGGGGGCACTGGAAGCGATTCCTCGATGCCCCCTTCCGCATTATCACAGCGGCCACCCCTCGTATTGCTGAGCATGGCGTTCTTCTCAACGCCCCCCCCGAATCCAGCCCCCCTTGGTGAGTTAGTTTGGCACGACAAGCCACATTGCTGGAAAACGTCCGGGCAGCTGCCGTTGCTCTTGTGCTTGGGCGGCACCTTGGTGGAACAGCCCGCCCACCTCCTAGTTTCACTTTCCCTGCACCAGCCTCCTTGCGTACTCCGCCCCCCTTCTCCGACTGCATCTTCCTCCCCGATGTGGGCACAACCTCGCAGTAGATGGCCGCTAGTCCTCTCGCGCATATCGCGCGCCCCCTCCCCTCCACGTATGCGATCTTCCCCCCTTTCCATCCCACATCCTCCTCATCCATCCCACATCCTCTTGCTCCTGCTGCTGCTGCTCCTCCTCCTCCTAATAATCATCGTGCCCCCCCTCCTCGAGCCAGGCCTCGCGGATGCCTGCTCGTTCTCGCGCCAGGGCCCGCCAGTGCGTCCGAGGCAGCACGCGAGAGCCGATGCACTTCACGGCAGCATCGGCACCAGGATGCCCCGGTGCGACTACACACCCAACTCGTATGTCGCTCTGCAGCCAACCCCACTTTTAGTGCGCGCGTCAATGTTTCGGGCCTTGTCTGGACATGATGCTGAACATGGCGGCGGCATGCAAACACAGCGTGCGCACATGAGGCACGATCCTGCGCGCAGTACCAATTGTTGCATTCCAAGCAAAAACGCAAGCTCTATCCTCCGTCTACCCCCGGGGGTCTGCCTGATCTCCCCCCCGCCCGTAGGCGTGCCCGTCTTGCGCCTGGTCCGCCAGTGCGCTTGCAACAGCACGTGTCTGAGATCCATCACGGTCGCGTCAGCATTACAGCCAAAGCCCCGCTACAAGGAGCTTCTGACACGGAATAGAGCCCCTTTGGTGCCGCAGTCGAGCCTAGATCTACGAGGATCGCCCAGAGACCCTTCCGAAACCCACCTGACACATGGCTACACGATTTGACTGGTGGTAGGAACACGCGGCCTTCGCGGCAAAACGCGAATCGTCCAAAGCGAGGAACAGGAGTCCAAGACCGGCTCATGCTGAGTTGTTCTTTGACGGCCCCGCGCCCGGAGAAGACCCCATGAGACTGAATACGGCGAAAACCTTCAGAGTCCGCTTCCCCCATGAGTCCCTGTCCTTCGTGGCGAAGGACTGCCAACGGCCCGAGCGGGATCTGCAGACCCCGTGGGCCGAGCCAGGGGGGACCCTCGTTGCGACGACTTCTCCCCGTCCCCGTCGCTCCTCCTCCTCCTCCTCCTCCTCCTCCTCCTCCTCCTCCTCCTCTCCTTCCTCCTCCTCCTCCTCTTTCTCCTCCTCCTCTGTCTCCACCACCTCCTCCTCCTCCTCCTCCTCTTCTCCTCCTCCTCCTCCTCCTCCTCCTCCTCCTCCTCCTCCATCCTCCTCCTCCCCAGATCTCCCCGAAAATCCGACCAACGTGTTTGACGTTTTTTGTTTATCCTTTTTGCTCCTCTAGGTGCCTGCGGAGGCCTCCTGGTATCCACCCACCAATGGCACCCGGAAGCCTCTGGGGACCTCCAGAGACCTCAAGGGACCTCCTGAAACCTCCAGGCCCCTCCCTTCCCGTACCGCACCCCATGCTGGGGAGACGGGCGAGGAAGGGCGAAGCGAGGCGAGGCGCCGATGATAGTCCAGAAGAGGACGGCCCTATAAGAACAGGGCAGGTTGTCCGGCGCGCGGGATACACTTTGGCCTCGCTTTGAAAGCGAAGGCGAATGGAGCTCTAATAGGGGGGAAGATGGAAACGAATACGACGGCGAGCATGGAAACAACTCCAACATGGCGGCCAGGGGGAGGGGGGAAGGGGGAAGGACAGGGGAGAGGACGGGGGGGATGGACTAGCGGGTCCAGCCACAGGCTATTAAGCATGCGTTCTGAGGAGCTCGCCATCGCCAGGTGCTGCACCGGGCCAGCCTGGCCGCCCTGCTGGACGCTGTCGCACACGTCCTGCGGGGGTCGAGCTCGCTCAAACATTTGCACGGGAAAAGCCGCACAGCGTAGGCTAGAGCCAGGTCCTCTGTTATTCGCGGTAGCGCCCGTCCGCCCTCCCCCCCACTTGGTAACGCCACGATTCGCGCTGGCGCCGTCTGGGAATTAGCCAGCTCTCAACATTCCCAGACGGTGCCGGCGCGAATCGTGATATTACCATCCCAACCCCCCCAGTGACGCCCGTTATCGCCAGGGGATTACCAAGATGACTCCTCACTTGCGGAGATCACACGCACACTACCTCGTGGCGTCTAGGCAAAGGTAATGTAGAGACATACATGGAAATGTCTGGGAGGCGCAGGTCTACACAGCCCTCCCCTCCCTGGCCCATCAACCTTCTCGTGCTTCTCATTCTAATGCCCCTCCCCTCCCTTCGCTAACAGTTGATACCATGATTCGCCACCTGCTGCTTTGAAAAGTGAGGCACATGCATGGGCAATACTGGCGAGGCGGAGCGGCGCCAGGAGGTGCAAAGCATCCGTCGCCTTGCTTTTGTTCGCGGACTTCTCGTGGTACACTGGGACCTCTCCACGGACGGCGCCGACGTATGATCCGCGTGTCCGTGTCCCTCCGCTCCCCTTGGGCCACCCCTGGGTCCTTCCCTCTCCCCGCACAAGTACAGCTCTTGAGCGCCACGTTGAATGCTACCCTCCCATATCCCCTGTCGACGTCCTGGCTTCGCCGGCCCCCTCCGCGCATATGCTTCTGGCAGATGATCGATCCTCGATCCTCGATCGATCCTCAGTTCCGCAGAAAACATCCAAACACCGCCACCGTGCCTGGCCAGGGCCAAACTGGGCCCCAGGAAGATGCCGTGTAGACCCTCCCGGCCTCGGCTTTGGGACGTATGCACCATGCCGAGATCGGGATGGCTCTGACGGGGCCCTGTGCGTATCGATCGTCCCTCGATCGACCCTCGGTCCGAAAGCTGGCGTGTCTCGGCCGCTCCGCATGGCGCTCCCGCCTCGACGCCTGCCACGTCCTGCCCCGCCTGCAAGACCCAATGGCCGATAATGAGCACCACGGCCGTCGTGCTGCCAGGGGGACCGCTGAATAAGGAACGAAGGGTTTCATTCTGGCCACGGCGAGCCTCGGCCTCTCATAGGCTCCAGGACACAGATCGAAGGAACGGCCTGGAGACCCGAGACCCTTCCTGACCCCAGGGCGGTCCTTCGGTAGCGTCTTGGTTCTGCTCCCCGAGCGGAGCACGCTTACAGAGGCCTGCCGTGAGTGGAGCACGCCTGCAGCGCTCCAGGCGCGTCCCGCCCTTCGACCTGGGTAGCAGCAGTGGCATCCTGGCTGCGTGGGGCACTCACTTGGCGGTCCCTGGATGTCTGGCGCTGGAGCGCGGGGTGCGAGCGGCCCCCTGCCTCCCGACCCCCACCACTCATACTCAGCTTGCTCCACCCCTCCCCCTTATGAACAACAAGTACGTCATGTCGCACCCCGAGACGTGCCTGTAGGGCGAGCAGGACGCGTCGCTTGAGACTTCCTCGCCTCTTAGGGTCCTGAAGATTGGAATTCGCAACACTTTCAGGGATGGGGGGGGCGGGTCGTTTTCAACATGTGGCTCTCGCCTCAGCGCCGCACACATTCTCGTCTAAACGTTTGCGAAAGACACGCTGGTGGAAGGCGGGGTCACCCTCAAAATGTGGATCTCGCTTTGGCGCTGCGCACATTCGTCTCAAAAGTTTGCGACGGCTTCACGGATGGAGGCGGGTGGCTTTCAAATGTGGCGCTCGCTTCAGCGCCGCGCGCATTCGTCTTCAAAATTTGTAACAGATTCACGGATGGAGGGCGGGCCGTTTTCAAAATGTTGGTCTCGCCACAACGCCGCGCACATTCGTCCGAAAACTTTGCAGCAGTTTCAGGGATGTCGGGCGGCTCCTTGTGAACATGAGGTTCCCGCACATTCTTTGCAGTAAAGTGCCCAAGCGTTTTGAGGATTCGTGCGGCCGAAGTCTCAGATAACGAGTCCTGGCACAACCTAGGATTGCCAGGACCTGACAGTCACGTTCATTCGCGGTGTTGACGTCCCAGGAACGGCGTCCTTGCACGATTTCGGATTGTCAGGACGCACCAAAACGTTGATCCACGGAGCTGACGTCCCAGGACATGTGTTTTGGCACGATGGAAGATAATGGGGCGGTTGTCTCTTAGTGGGCCACTTCCCGCAATCAAAACGAATTGTTTGAGGGACATCGGAAAAGGGGACTTCGGGGGAGGTTACATTGCAACATCCTTGATGCGTCTTGCGCTGACACTGGTCCTCCTCGAGAACGTGGGATTGGGGAGCCACGCTGTGTACCAGAGCGCGTTCGCACGAGGCTTTCACACTGAGTTCGCGCGTGTGTGCTTGAATTCATGTGTGGCGGTGCGCGCACGCATGCTCAGGGTGCTCTTTCGCGCCTTCCTCCTCGACCTCCTCCTGCTTCCCTGCATATGCATTGCTCCTCAAAGGAGCAGGCCCCCCCTTTTCTTCTGGGGGGGCGGTCTCCCCGCCACCTCTCCCTTCAAAAACTACGAAACACAAAAGCAACGAGGCGGGCTGGTTTTGCCGGATGCATCTTCTTGTGTGTGATCGTGGAAGGGGGCGAGGCGAAACTGACAACTGCTACTCCAGCTCCCACTATGACCACGAGAAAACAAAGAACGGGGTGGCCTGATTGGTGATTCGTGCTTCATGTTATTTTGTTTTCTTTGGGGGTGGGGGGGTCGGGGGCAGGGAGAGGCCCGCCGTGCAGAGGGCCCCCGTGCAGAAGGCCCCCCCCGGGAGAGGCCGGCCTCGAGCCAGCCCGGCTCCTGTCTGGAGAAAACCGATACCGCCACTCCCCAGACCACTCCCCCTAGGAGGCCCCAAAAAGACGAAAAAGGAGGGAAGGGTAGCTGTATGGGTACATTTTTCTTGAGCAGGCTGTTGGGCGCCACGGCCCGTAGCGTCAGGCAACGGGCAGGTGGCCGACGCCTCCTGCCAGATGGCCGCGCCTACCCGCTCAAGGCAATCTCACGACCCAAGGCGAGTCCTTGGAGCGCCTTCTTGGTATGGGTACTTCCTTCTCCCCTGACTGTCAGCAAGCATGCCGACCCCCCACGGCCGCGCAGGTCCCGTCAGCTTGGCGGCGAGGGGCCCTTCGAGGCGCGAGGTTGGGAGCGCCCGCGCCTGCCAGCTGCCAGGTCTCTGGCGGCACCCTCGAGAGCCGGGCCGCTCCGCCGACCACCGACCGTGGGCAGCTCAGGACGTCCCGGGACCTGAAGAGGATCGCTAGGGGCGCGACAGGTTCGGGCTCGAGGCTCGAGGTTTGAGGTATTCGGGTGTTTTCGTTGGTTCTCGGCGGCTTGCCAGCCTCGGGAATTCTCCGTCGGCTGCGCCTCGCCGAAAGCGTTCTAGGGGTTCCCGGATCGTCCCGAACGGCCGCAAGAAGCCCGAGCTGTGACCCGAGAACAACCACCAGGGACCTGCTGAAGGGGGGGAAGCCTCCACCTGGAGTCGACGAATCGATCGACGACAGGTCGGCGGCTGGTCCCCGACAGCGAGATCGCACTCTCCTGGGCGGGGCAAGCCGTCGGGCCTCTGTCGGCGATGAAGTGGCGATTGGGGGTCGACGCATCACCCCATGAGCCGATATCCCCCCCCCATCACGCTGCTCCTGAAGACCCCTGGCCTGAACACGCCGCCGAGCTCGGCCCCGCGCTCGAGCAGGAGCCCTTCTCGGGTGCAGAGGACGCTGCGCCCCGCCCCTCGAGGCAGCAGCCGTCCGGGGAAGGCAGCCGGCACCAGGAAGACTGCGGAGTGCGGACTCGAGCCGAGACGACTCGCGAGCGCCTCCCGCCTTGACGACTGCTTCGAGTTCGACAAACCAAAACTTTGGCATGGCGCTTCCCCTGTCAGATCAAATCGACCACGACAGCGACCGAACGGAACGAGGGCCTGGTGTCTTTAGTTCCGAGGGACAGCATGTAAAGGAATCTGAAGGCGCCCCTAAGCCAAAGGTTGCGGAAACAGAAAGAAACCAAGCTCCTAGATGCACAATCTCTCTGTTGGGGTCTTACCCTATCGTACGCCCGCCCTTGGTTGGACACAGGGCGACTAGACACACACAGTACCACAAATGTGTTTGGACTTGGCCCCCGGAGCTAACACTCACAGCGGGCCCAAATTTTAGCAAGTCCAAAATACCTAACTTGATTAAACGGCATTGAAGCCAGCATGGGATTGTGATAGCATCTGGTCCCCACGCGCCTAAACTGACGGCGCATCCGAGAGAGAGGGGAGAGGAGCAGAGACCGAACCGACCGCCTCGGAGTCCAGGGCCTGGGAAGCGAGCTGGCGGAGCGAAGCCGCATGAAACCTGGCGTTGTTCTGCGGCGCGCTGCGCCTCTCGTCCCGGGAGGTTTGCTCAGACGCAATCTTCAGCATTCCAGTCCTGAGCAGGGCAAATTGCGCAGTGCTGCTCTTTCCCAGGTCGGCCTTAATCATGGGATCGACGGGCATTGCGGGGTGGGGGGCCCGCCGTATGGCACTCCCCACGCGGGACAGGGATTCTCGGCAGATAGCCAGCTCTATGGAGGTCCTCCTGTCTGTGTTCGAGCCCGCGGTGATTCGATCCAGGGTGTCGAAGATGCCCTCGGCATCCACGATCGAAACATTGCCCTCGGGACGCTGCCTCGAGGAACATTCTTGTCTCAACAAAGAGACGAACGGGCCCGTGTGCTTTCTCCAGTTTTCCGTGAGCAGGGATCCGTCAACTACGTCACAGCATAGCATCTGTAGCCACTCCGCCTCGGCGAGAGCCGAGCTGAGGGCCACAACCTCTCCGGCCATCGTGGAAGCGACGTGGCGTCTAACCCGGCAGGGACGCCAGGAGAGGGGGGTCACTCAAGACATCTTTCCCTGGGAGGTCGCGCTGTCAGCGGCGTAGACCTGATAGGCTTGCTGAGCCTTTTTCCCACCAAATCGAAGCCACGCCGCTGCAGTCTGATGCGGTCTGCAAAACCAGCTGTTTCGGGGAGGACCGCCAAACCGTGATCGGGACCGTCGCGGTGGCACGAAGGTGATCGATGGCCTTGTTGGCCAGATTCGCGTCGGCGATCGTCGGGGCGTGAACTCGGCTCGCAGGTATCGAAGCAACCCCGCGCACTTCAGCCCGGGCCTCACGGACGACCCAGCTCAGCTTATATATCGCCGATCGGAACTCGGCCATCGCATCGGGGTCGAGACTCGCCCCGTGGTTCGCTCGCTGGCTCCGAGGGATGAGTATCTTGCTCAAGGGCTCCAGGATATACTTTTCCTAGGCTATCAGGATGCGGTCTGGGAGCATCCGAACTCGCCGTCCGATGTAATCCGCCCCCACCGAATCGAGAGCCTTGAGCTTCCCGAACTTGAAGCGAGAGGTGTACTTGGCAAGTTCGCTATCGCTGATGCGGGGGCCCAGGGCTATCGCCGAGTCGCCCACCTCAACGAGAACCATGCCATTAGGCATTCCCAGGGATCCCTGGACGCACCAACAGGGTTCCATCTTCGCCT